CGAAGGCCCCAGTAGGGGTGTTCGCATGCGTCTCCCCCACCCAGGACAGCGTTTCGTGGCCCCATGGGAGCTCCACCTAAGGTCCCAGTAGGGTTTCGCATGCGTCTCCCCCACCCAGGACAACGTTTCGTGGCCCCATGGGGAGCTCCACCGAAGGTCCCACTGGGGTGTTCGCATGCGTCTCCCCCACCCAGGACAGCGCTTCGTGGCCCCATGGGGAGCTCCACCGAAGGTCCCAATAGGGGTGTTCGCATGCGTCTCCCCCACCCAGGACAGCGTTTCGTGGCACCATAGGGAGCTCCACCGAAGCTCCAGTGGGGGTGTTCGCATGCGTCTCCCCCACCCAGGACAGCGTTTCGTGGCCCCATGGGGGGTCCACCTAGGACACAGGTTTGCCTGTCCCCCACCCAGCATCACCTAGGAAAGCGTTGCGAGGAGGAGGGGGAGGAGGAGGAGGAGGAGGAGGAGGAGGAGGAGGAGGAGGAGGAGGAGGAGGAGGAGGAGGAGGAGGAGGAGGAGGAGCGGGAGTCATAGGAGTGCAGTCCTTCAGGAACAAGGACATACCCGCGGGGGGCAAGCTGAAAGCGCTACAGGACACGTGGGAGGCGGTCAGGTGCTTGATCCTGGAGGAGGTGAGCATGATCTCGCCCAACTTGTACAACATGCTCGCCTTCCGGTCCTACCTGGGACGCAAGGCCGAGTGGGGCGTGGAGGAGCGGGAGCACGACCAGGTCGGCGGAGCCTTCGGCCGGATGCCGATCGTGATCCACCTGGGAGACTTCTTGCAGCTGAAGCCGACGGGAGGCAAAGTGTCCCTCATCTCCAGCTTCGAGGAACTGGCGAAGGCGGGCATCAACCTCGCTCCAGAGTACCAGGCCGTGATGAAGCTCTTCTGCAACACGCCGCTGTGCTTCGAGCTCCAGGCGTCCAACCGCTTCAAAGACCCGAAGCTTCGTGATCTCATGGCGTTCTTGCGCAAGCCGGGGAAGCAGGTCCCGCCGGCCATCCGTGCCACGTGGAACGCCATGCAGTTGAAACCCGATGATCGCCGGCTCCGGGAGGAAAGGTTCCAGAACGGCCACATGATTGGGTCTTACTGGGACACTGTGGCGCGGTGGATGAACATGCGTTCCCAGCGGGACGCGGACGTCCTAAAGAAGCCCCTCTTCCTCGTGCAGGCCGCCGACAGGTCTGCCCCGACGATGAATGTCAAGGACGCCGCCAAGATGATGAACTGTGCCAACCCGAAGAACACCGGTGGCATGCACGGACTGCTCCCGGTGCATGTCGGCATGCGGATCCGGCTCCTGGAGGCGCTCGACCTCAAGAGCGGCCTCGTCAAGGACGCCGAGGGCCAGATCGTGCGCATCGTCGTGGACCCTCGAGATCGGGACGCAGTCGACAATGCCGAGAGAGACGGGGAGAAGAGGGTCTATCTGAAGCACTTGCCGCTGGGGTTCTGGGTGCGCATGGAGAAGTACGCGAGCGCGCCCTTCGTGGACGACCTGAGGCGCCACGACGACAGCCTCACGGGGGACCTCGCGGGCCCGCTGGTGTTCATCGAGCCCCGTGCGTCGGAGCCGTTCACCTTCCGCACCTCCAAGGTCACCCGGACGGGCTTCCCGTTTTCGCACGGCAGGGTCATCACCACGGTGGCGTGCCAGGGGCGCGCCATGCGGGAAGGCGACGGGGCGGGGGAACGGCGCCGCTGGGCAGTCTACGGCCGAACCTTTCGGGCCGAGCGGTCCGCAGCCAGACCTTCTCTCGGTCTCGTGGACTCTCGCCCTGGGCCTTCGGCTTTCCGGCGCGCTGCTCCCTCGGCCGACATCGCCCAGGCGTGATCCTGGACTGCGGCCGCCACGAGGTGGGGAACGGCAAGAAGGAGGACGACGACTGGTGGCTGGAGCTCTACGTCCTGCTCTCGCGCGCCACGCGCCACGAGGACCTCCTGCTCATGCGGGCGCCGCGCATCGAGTTCTTCCTGGCAGGGCCGCCGGAGGGCTTGCGGAAGCAGCTGGAGCAGTTTGCTGCGCGCACGAGGCGGTGCAGAAGGGAGGCGACGGCCCTCGCCAGGGAGCTGGGCTTCACCGAGTTTATCCGCGAGGCTTGACCTGAGGAGCGGCCCGCCCGAGCCTCGCCGTCTCTCGACGGTCTGACTGTTTGGCTTCGCGCCGCGGGCAACCTGCGCGCGTCGCTGGGACCCTCTCGGGGCGACCAGCGCGCGTCCCGGGAATTTCGCGCTGCGCTCTGACCAGAGCCTCGCTCGCCCCCGTCGTCTCTCTGCCCAGCGGCCACAGGCTTGCCCGCTATCAGCCAGCCTGCTCGCTCTCCCCGCTGCGCACAGCGGACGACCTGCGCGCGTCGCCGGGACCCCTTCTCACCACCCACCAAACCACCCCAACCCAACCCGAAGGCCCAAATTTGCCCTCCATTTCCAGTGGGGGGGGTCGGGGAACGTTGAAAAAACACATGGTATCCGTACCCCCCCAACCCGAAATTCGGGTCAAATTCGGGTCTTCGGGTTGGGTTGGGGTGGTCTGGTAGGTAGTCACCTTCGGGGCGACCAGCGCGCGTCGCGGGGATTCCGTGCGGCGCCGCGCCAGCAGCCATGGACATCGGCGCGCACGGGCAAAAATGCAGAGAAGAAAGGGAAGGAAGCGGGCGCGATCCTCGGGAGGAGCGTCCACATTTATGTACGTAGACTGATTCGCACGCAGACTCATTCACAATCAGACTCACTCGCGCTCAGGCTCACCCGTTCTTAGCCTCTCGCACTCAGACCGACCGTCTTTGTTCGTATTGTGTACCCCGTGACGAATTTCGGCACGCCCCTCACACGGTTCGTGGCCCCATAGGGAGCGCGAGTGAAGATGGTATTCACGATTGCGGTATTCACAACTGCACATGGTTGGGTCCTTCGTCAGGCTAATTTAAAGAATCTGGGAACTGTGTGGCCGAATGCTGGGCCAAAGTCTGGGCAAGATGTCGGACTGCGCATGTGTCCCCCCCAGCCAGTGTGGAAGTACTTGGGGAGGGGACGAGGGAGCAGGAGGAGAGGGAGGAAAAATTACAAACGGGAGCAGGCCTCTCGGAGCACCTTTGGGGTTTCATCAGGGGCCTCTTGGGGGCCTCTTGGGGGTTTCTGGAAGCCTCTAAGGAGCCTTTTGGCCTTGAGAGGCCGTCTTGGGGGCATGGGTGGCTGCCTCGGGGCCATTTGGGGGCGCTTTAGGGTCGTCTTAAATGTCTCTGGGCCGTCTCGGGGGCTTCTTCGGCTGTCTTGGGGCTCTCTTGGATGCCTCTGGGGCCGTCTTCGGCTGTCGGAAGCCAGAACAAGTGGGAACGCGCAGTTCATTCAACCAACATGAGAAAACAAGCACTTACGTTTACGTTTTCGGACCCTCCCGGCCCTACAGGAGAGTCCGAATCTGTAAGCGCCATTTTTTTCCCAGAAGGCTCCAAGAAGGCTCCAGGGTGCCCTGGAGGGCTCCCTGGAGGGCTCCCTGGAGCCTTCCTGGGCCGCCTTAAGGCGGTCTTTGGCCGTCTTGAGGTCATCTTGGGCCGTTTTGGAGTTGCCGCTTCCGCCTTGGAGACCACATGTGCTGTCTTTGAGGCGTCTCGTAGGCCATGTTATGCCGTCGTGGAGGCCATCTTGAAAGCCATTTTGGGCGTCGGGGAGGTGGAAGAGCTTTGGAGTTCGCCTGGGTCTTTCGGAGTGGCCAGCTGGATGGGCCGGGACCCCAGTCGGAACCGCTTGGACGAAACAAAACGTGCACACAAATCTGACACGCACCCTTCTGCAACCAGAAGGGAGCGGCGGATCTAGTGCTCTTCGGCCCATCCCGGCACCGTGCCCAAGTCGTTGACCAGAAACCTCCGAGAGGCCTCTCAGGGTTATTTGACATGCCTCTGGTGGGCCTCGGAGGCCTTCTTGGGATGTCTCCCGGGCTTCTTCAAGTCCTGTTGGGTCTCCCTGGGGAGCCGTTGGGAGAATTCTGGGGGTCTTGGGGGTCTCTTAAGGCTTGGAGGCAGTTTCGGGGGTCACCTTGGGGTGGAGGGCTCCAAATACCAATGCTTGCTTCCCCTTTGGGGCCGTTTTGGGAGCTTTGGCTGCCGTCTTGGGACGATGTGGGGCCGTCTTGGACGCCTTGGCCCGTTGGGCCGGCGAATTTCAATGATTCGGCCTTTGGGGGCCAGCCCCTGGGGCTTGCAACGGGCCATCTGAGCGGCCACGCTCCCCGGGCCACGGGAGAAGTCACGCGGGCATTCGGGCATTCCATTCCCGAGAGCATCAGGGAAACACGAGGAGCGCCCAAGAGCGCCCAGATACGGGGCCTGGACCACCCAGGCAGAGCGTCTGCTGTGGGGGCGTTAGTTAAGGAACGTGCCCAGGAGGCTTCGGGCCCCGGGGGCTTCCTTATCTAAGAAGGGCGGCGGTGATATCCATGGCCAGTCCACGATTGGAGTTCCACTGGCCTCCAGACTCTGGATTCCTTACCTAAGGTCGGGGGTGGATAGGCCTCCTACCCTGACACATCGATTAGCGAATTGGCCGTTTTCGGTTCGCGAGAGGCCGTCGCGGCCGTCATTCTTGCGGGTCCAGGTCCGTCGGGTTCGGTCCTTGGCCGTCTTCATTAAAGGGAGGTTTACTAAAGGGATGTTTGTCCACCGCCGAGTATTGGGTGTTGCTAGAAGTACCCCTGGCCCAAGGTGCCCCCAGAATTCTCGGGGTGGCCCAGGCGGCCTCCAGAGCACCCCTCACGAGGCCCAGAAGGCCCCAGGGCCCCCAGAATGGAGCGAGAAGCTGGAGGCACCTTGGGCCAGGGGCACTTCTAGCAACGACCTGCGAGGTTTGTCCACCGCCGAGAAATGTTCCTCGTCCAGTGCCCGCACCGCGTCGCACTCGACACCGAGGGCCGGGGGGGGACCCGGGGGCACTCCACCCCGCGTCCCCGGCACGGTGGCGGCTCTGCTCGACCAGCGGTCAGGCGGCCGCGCCCTCGGTCTGCCTCGGTCTCCCAGGTCTTCGTCGTCCTCCGCTTCCTCCTCCTCCTCGGCGTGATCCTCCTCCTCGTCCTCCTCCTCCTCCTTCTTCTCCTCCTCCTCTTCATCATCATCATCATCATCATCATCATCATCATCATCATCATCATCATCATCATCATCATCATCATCATCATAATCATCATCATCATCATCATCATCATCATCATCATCATCATCATCATCATCATCATCGTCATCGTCATCATCATCATCCTCATCCTCATCCTCATCCTCATCCTCGTCATCATCATCATCATCATCATCATCATCATCATCATCATCATCATCATTATCGGCATCGTCATCGTCATCCTCATCATTATCATCAGCAGCATCTATATCTTCATCATCATCATCATCGTGGCCATCATGACCATCATCATCATCATCCTCCTCTTCTTCGTCATCATCATCATCATCATCATCATCATCATCCTCATCCTCGTCATCATCATTATCAGCATCATCATCATCATCATCATCTTCAGCATCATCATCATGACCATCATGACCATCATGACCATCATGACCATCATCATCCTCGTCATCATCATCATCATCCTCGTCATCATCATCATCATCATCATCATCATCATCATCATCATCATCGTCACCATCGTCATCATCATCATTATCCGACTGCTTCCCGTCCTCCTCATGCGCGGCCGCCTCTGGCTCCACCCCCGCCTCCCTTGGCCTCTCGTTCCTCCTCCCCATCCGCGTCATCCTCCTCTCTCTCTTGGCTCCCCTGCGCCTCTCTCCTCACGCCTCTTCCTCCTGCTCCACTCCGTCCTCCCTGCTCGACGCGCGACACGACTCCTTCACCTTCACGGCGGGTCCCCTAATTACGCGTTCTACGTTGCGGCCGGATAACAGTTATTGATTCCCTTTCTCCTCCTCCTCCTCCTCCTCCTCCTCCTCCTTCTCCTCTTTTCTCCTCCTCCTCCTCCTCCTCCTCCTCCTCCTCTTCCTTGTCCTCCTCCTCCTCATCCTTCTCCCCTCCTCCTCCTCCTCCTCCTCCTCCTCCTGTCCCTCGTCCTCATCCTGGTCATCCTCCTCCTCTTCTTCCTCCTCCTGCAACCAAGACCTCATCCTCCACCTACTCCTTGATAGTATCTTCCAACTCGCCCTTCTTCTCTTCATCATGTACCCCTCTCCTCCCCCTCAGAGCAGGTCAGGCGGCATCCCATTCTGAAGGAGAATATTGGGTGCCGTCCATGCTTGCTCGTCGCGCGAATCTTCTGCACCCGTCCGCGGCAGGGCAGCTGTCCTTGCTTGATTCATCTGGCCACGCGCCTCTCATGCCGTGCCCTCCTGATGCAACGGCGTCAGCGCATCATCACCATCGTCACCCTTAGCCCGTTTCGGCTCGAAAAACATACCCTTGCACACCCCACACTCTGTACACTCTTTCAGACACCACTCTGCACGATCTCATACGATCTTCGCACACCAATACCATGACCTCTGCGGTGGATATGTTGGCCACCATCGAGCAATGCCAGGCGCCGGCCCGACACGTCATCAGCTTAGCGGACCTGCTGGACGGTAATTCGGCCACAGACGGAGGCAAGAAGGAGCCGGGGGAGAATTGAGCATCCACTCACAGCGGTCTTGGCCACAGAAAGGAAAGCGCAGTGGGGGAGGGAGGAAGGGAGAGAGAGGGAGGGAGGAAGGGAGAGGGAGGGAGGGAGACGGAGGGAGACGGGGGAGGAGGAGGAGGAGGATGATGAGGAGAGAGGAGGATGAGGACAACGAAGAGGAGAGAATGAGGACGATGACCTGACGAGGACGACGACGAGGACAGGAATAGAGGCGGAGGATGAGGTTGAGGAGGAGGCGGCAGGATGAGGAGATGGGTGGTGAGGGGGAGGGGGAGGAGGAGGGAGGGGAAGGAGGAGGAGGAGGATGAGAGGAGGGCGAAGAGGAGAGGAGGAGGAGGAGGAGGAGGCGGAGGAGGACGAGGAGTACGAGTAGGATGAGTGGAGGAGGAGGGAAGTACAAAAAATCATCACAGGAATGAGGAGTAGGAGGAGGAGAGGAGGAGGGGGAGAGGAGAGGAGAGGAGGAGAGAGGACGGAGGCGGCGGAGGAGGATTAGGAAGGAGGAGGAGGAATAGGAGGAGCAGGAGCAGGGAGAGGAGCATAGGTCGCAGGAGCAGGAGGAGCAGGTGTCGAAGGAGGAAGAGGAAATCACGGAGAAGGGAGGAGACAGAAGAGAGAAGGAGAGGGAGGAGGAGGGAGGAAGGAGAGACCGGCCGGGCCCCGCCCGCCACAGTCGAGGGTTACACCATCCTGGCCGATACGTGCCCCAGTCACGATTGGGAGTGGCATTGTCGGCGTCTCCCGCAGGACGAGGACAAGCCCGCTCGCCCGGTGTTCATTCCGCCGCCTCCGGGCTTGAGGACCAGCTTGAGCTCCAAGGTCGGGGAGCTTAACAATGGACCTTGACCCTGGTCCGCATGCCCTTTATTGGGCGCATAGGAGGGGAGGAGGAGGAGGAGGAGGAGGAGGAGGAGGAGGAGGAGGAGGAGGAGGAGGAGGAGGAGAAACAGCAGGAGGAGGAGGAGGAGGAGGAGAAGTTGGTGGAGGCGGAAAGTAACTAAGTCACGTGCAGGGGCGCGAGGGTAAGCACATTTTGCGCGTCGCGGTCTGGGCCAGAGCGGCTGTCCTTCTCCAATGGGGGCGTCGCGAGGGCGCGAGGGTGCGAAGGTGACCGCGCGTCGCGTATCGCAGGGCGCGATGCACGAAGTTAGGTGGTTCGAGGAAAGCGGCAGGAGGGTGGCTTGAATGAGCGGGGGTACAGTCGGCCTGGATTAGTAGGTCAACCCTGCCAGTTCAAGGGTACCCTTGTGTCATGTGCCTCGCGACCAATGCCTCCTAATTACTTTCCTGTGGCAATATGGCCCTCAGAAGGGTTTTGTGAGTCTTGTGCCCTCTCGCGTGTCCTGTCCAATCAAGGCCGACTGCACTAGATTTGATACAAGTATGCTTATGATGGCCCGAAGGCCCCCGCGTTTGTGCCGATTCGCAAGGATCAGGCCGCAGACACCTTCGAGAAGGCCGCGCAGGCGTCGGAGGGGGAGGGCACCGATACCTCTGGGAGCCTCCCGTGAGGACCACTGCCGACGCATGGCCTTGCTGCGATTGCCTCCCTCGACTTCGCTTATGATGCTCCAACCTACTTTAGCCTTGATCACCAGAAAGAGTTTCCAGCGCCAAAAAAAGTGCCGAAGCTCAAGGGTTTTCACGTGTCGGGCCCTGGGAAACACTCGCCCGACACTGTTTCGATATTGGTTCGACACTCTTTTGACACTTTTCCGGGTGCTCGAAATTATTTCTGGGATGTGGTCCTTGAGTAGGATGGGAACAACATAAGATTTCGCGTGAGGAGTTGGGTCTGTCTCGTGAGCAGCTAGCTCGCGGGCTGCGTCCCACTCCTGCCTGCGGACCCAAGAATTCGCCGCCGTCCCTTGGAGCGGCGGTGCCGGGCAGGGCGCTCATTATAAGCGTGCACGTGTGTCAAAACATCTTGAAGTCGTCACCACCTTTGCTGCTCTCCTCCTCCTCCTCCTCCTCCTCCTCCTCCTCCTCCTCCTCCTCCTCCCTCCTCGGCCTTCCTCCTCCTCCTCCCCCTCCTCCTCCCCCCCCTCCTCCTCCTCGGCGTCCTCGCATCCTCCGTCACTCGATCGTTCTCCTCCTCCCGCCTCCTCTCCTCCTCTCCCTCCTTCACTCCACCTCTCCACCCCTCCTCCTCCTTCCTCCCTTCCTCGCCTCCTCCTCCTCCTCCTCCTCCTCCTCCTCGCCCCCCTGGTCCTCCTTAGGAGGCCACACAATCAAAATGGATGCGCGATAACGGATGCAAGGGGCCCGGACGGGCGCCCATTCCGAAGCTTTTCGAGCGGGGCGCGGCCAGCGAGAGCTGCGAAGGATGGACCGAGGAGGCAAGGATGCAAGGGTACCCTTGGGAAGGTTGCCCATCCTTACTATGCGGGTTGACTGCGTGCTCACGCGATTTGTTGTCCGCCGATAGAGGGCAGACACTCCACCCCGAGGATCTGAGCCGGGCCACCGCGGCGGCTTTCCAGCGCCGCCCCTGGCGCCCTCCGCACGCCAGGGAACGGGCATCGAGCGCCTGTCCTTAAGTCGGGCCTGTCCCTCTCAACAATATTAAGAAATACTATGGGGACGATTGTTTAAGCATTTTCCAGCATTCGGGTTGTATTTTTTTGAGTATTTTTCATTTTTCGTTCACAATCCCCCTGTAGGGGGACACTCCCGACTTAAGCCTATCCTAGAAATCCGCGCGGAGCTCCGAAGGTTTGTCAGGAGGGAAAAACACACAGACACAATTAATCGTCGATTCCCCAGCCCAGAAAATATGGGAAAAATATGGGGAATTTTGTTAGTTGTATCTATTTATTTGTGTGTCCCAGGGCCCCTTTAGTTTGTCTCTATGCAGCCCTTCCTTCCATGCTCGGGACGGTCTCGCAGCATCGCTGCCCTGCCTCGCTTTGCGCTGGCTCGGCGCCGTCCAGCCGGGATGCCGTGCCCACACCAGCACCACCTCCCTCACCCCCTCCCTCTCCCAGGAGAGAAAAAGAATGGGAAGGGTAGAGTCACGTCGGGCATGTCCAATATTCAAAATAATCAAAAATCGTCAGGTGACGATTTTTTTGCCATGTTTCACTCTTTGGGGGTATTTTTGTTTACGTATTTCAAATTTCGTGGTGGGCCTACAGGAATGCCGGGACGGGCGGTCCCTGCTGAACAGACAGACGGACAGCTCCGCACGGAAGGCACCTGCAGTTAAAATTGACTGCAAGGATGCGCGGTGAGGATGCAAGGGCCTTGGACGCCCATGCCGAAGCTTTTCGAGCGGGATCTTGGCGAGTACGTCCCCAGGACGATGGTGGTTTCCTCTTGGGCCCAGAGCGACGGTTTGAAGTCTTGAGCCGTCGCGCGTGTGAGGTGCCCGCCGTCGGATGTTCGGTTTGCGCGGATCCGATGTTGGTTTTGGCTTGTGTTTCGGTGGATCCGATTTGGGGTCCCAGTTCCCACACGGATCAGCCACATCATTGAGTCCCAGCCTCTTCGTTCTTTCGTTCCTTCCCACAGCGTTTTGGTTCGTGTCGGTGGGTCCGATGTGTGATCCCTGCTGGTGTCGTTCCCACACGGATCAGCTTTCGGATGTTGTAGATCCGATTTCCGTGCTGTTTTTTTCACGGGGATCCGATTTCTCACCCATGCGGATCCAATGTCTACCCCGCTCGAAAGTTGTATTATTGAACGAACTAAAACGGAGAACCGGAAGACATCGGATCTGCGGACCCCGCAACCGCAACCCGCCCGTACTAAGATTCTACGGGGGAGGGTTCGGTTATATGAACTTCCCAGGATGTGTCCCGCGCTGTCCCGTGCGCTCCCATCAACTCTCCACGCGCACGGGCCCCACTCAACATGAGGACATATCCCTCCTCTTGGTTGCTGCAAACAGCTCGTCCAGACGCCGGGCGTTAGGCGGCGCCGATGTTGTTTCGCGAACTCTTCATCGCCGTTGTCACCTCAAGAGGTACATCTTTCGTCCTGCGTAAGTAGTGGGGCCTGTTCTGTACAGCACCTTGAGACAGCGAAAGGGCACCCAACCGCCACGGAAAATAGTGACCTACTCAGTGCTCGCATCCGCGAAGTAGCATTTCCAGGAGGAGAGAATTTCCCGGAAGGGCTTCAGTATCTCCCCAGCGCTGGAACGAAAATCCGCGGAACGCACCGAAGCCAAGCGCATGGGCGATCGCGCTAGATCCAAAGCGCAGCGCAGGGAAATCGACAATGCCACTAAATCAGCCCAAAACCAACGCATCAAAGACACGATCCAAAACAGTCGACATACGAGAGAGATGGCTGGGCATTCCACACTTGAAAGTTGGTTACCCACCGATGCCGATGGCAAGCCCGTCCCAGCACACCAGCGGAGGCTGCGGCCACCCATCTGGCAACCGAGCAGCGGAGGACCCCTCCTCCTCCTCCTCCTCCTCCTCCTCCTCCTCCTCCTCCTGCTCCTCCTCCGCCTCCTCCTCCCCCTTCTCCCCCTACTCCTCCTCCTCCTCCTCCTCCTGCTACTCCTCCTCCTCCTCCTCCCCCTCCTCCTCCTCCTCCTCCGCCTCCTCCTCCGCCTCCTCCGCCTCCTCCTCCTCAGACCGGTACCGCCGCAAGTTCCCCTCCTCCCACCCTTTCCACCCCGCGCTGCCCGTCGACGCCGGCCCCATCACGCCGCACGGGCCCACGTCGCCGCTCGGACGATGGAGGCGTCGCAGGGCGTCCTGCCCAGATGGTTTGCCCATGGAATTTTTGGTTCACGAGTTCGGTACAGTGAGCGGCTTGAATAAGGAGCACTTACTTTTCAAAAGGGGCTCGGTCGTTCCTTAGGTTTTACGTGCGTTGGTTACAGTTCCTTATGCGTTATCTACTATTTATCGTTCCTTATGCGTTATTCCTTGGGATAAAAAGGGGCTTCGTTCCTTATTTCTCGTTTCTTAGGTCAGGCCGATGACTGTAATCGCAATTTCCGAAGTGTTCTTGGCTTTCGGAATCTTTGGTGGTCAGACGAGCTCGTCCCCGGCGACTATGTTGGCGGCCAGAGTTGGCCGTCTGTCGAAAAAGTTACAGGCAGCGCGACAAATGTTGACAAGTACCGCCCAATTTCCCTGCTGAGCTCGCTATGCAAGCTTATGGTGGGTGTCCTCAAAGACCGAGTTGTTAAGCACATATGGCCACCTCCTACGACTTACGCAGTTTGGCTTTCGGGCACGGCGCAGTACGTCGCAGGCCTTAAAAATCGCCAAGCAGATTGTCCAACAAGGCGCCAGCACCCGCAAGTACAAACAGGGCTCCCCGCTGTATCTGTGGTTCCTCGAGTGTGAAAAGGCAGTCAAACTCGTCACGCGCGAAGCCTCATTCAGCGCCCTCGAGCGCATGCATTTGCCAGACAAAGCCATCAATGGTATGAAATCATTGCGTGATCTCATCTTCTAGGTTGGAATGGACAACTACGAGACACAATGGCATCGCCAGGACGCTGGGATCCGCCAGGGCTGCCCTCTCTTACCGTACCTGTTTCTGAACGTCATGCATGTCTCGTTCCAAGACACATATACGTCGCTTTCGGAAGGGCGTCCGCCCGGAGTCTTCTTCGACGCATTTACTGTTCGCAGACTACACGATGTGCGTTTCGTCCGACAACTTTCTTCAAACCACGCGCATGCTTCACGCCATGGAGCAAAAAAGCGGGCGTTTCGGCCCCAACCTAAACAAATCAGAATGCGAATGCATGGTCGTCGGACAGTCAAGTCGGGCCAAATAGCAGCATTCATGTTCCGTGCGCAGAGACTGTAAAGCATCTTGGCTGCTTTTAGGACAGTAGAACATCAGGAGGGAAAGAAACACACAGACACTATTAATCGTCGACTCCCCAGAAAATATGGGAAAATATGGGAAGTGGTGGGGGAGACAAAAACCCAGAAAATATGGGAACATATGGTGGATCTTTTTATTTGTGTGTATTTATTTGTGTGTCCCAGGGCCCCTTCAGAACAGACGTCGGGAAAGAGATCAGCACCCGCACCCAGAACTGCCTTCAAAGGAGGCAGCGGCTCGATGCGCTCTGGCTACGCAGCCGTTGCACCGTCTCGCCAACATGCACAAGTTTCTAGCGCGGTCTGCCGATCCACACTGCTGCACGGCCTGGAGCTTATTCAATCCACCCCCTGGCAGACGCCGCGGCGCGACGCGGTTCAAGTGAAAGGCCTCCGCCAAATCCCTGGGCTGCCGACTACGCTCGGCGAAGGGGCCCAGGGCCAGGACCGCGCGAACGCGCACGAGCTCCAAGCACAAAAAAACCCAGGAGGCCGCGCGAAGCTCTCGAGCGCTCCAGCGCCACGTACGAAGAGCTAGAATTTGGCTTGCTCTGCGGTCTGCTTTCGCCCCCCGCGATTGACCGAGTCGCTTCCTGCACGCTCGACCCACAAGCGTTCCGGCCATGGGGCTCTGGTCCCGAACGCGTCGGGGGACCGCGGAAGGCTGGTGTAGAGTGTGAGCACACCGCCGATTTTCTTTGGCGGACTTCGTAAGTGCCGTTTTGGCCATGGCTCGAAGACGCAGCGCTTGACCTCGCACTGACTTCTCACAGACTGTTCCTACGAGTCACGACGTGGCAAAGGACGAAGAATCTCCACCCCTAGAACTACTTTCGCCCCCTTCCGTCCTTTCTGCGGGGACACACTGGATGGGGTTGCTCCTCGGCGACAGATGGGTCTATGCAGGTTGACGACGAATTCATCAGTTCCGGCGCGACCGCCTACGGGAGAAAAGTTCTCCGTCTTGCCCAGATAAGCCCTCGCGCTTCTTTTCGCCGCCGCCCCGAGTTCGCCCCCGCCCCCTTTCTCTCACCCCGAAACTGCTGCACGGCCTGGAGACTGCGAAATTCCACCTTGGGGCAGACGCAGCGGTTCATGCTTTTCAAGTGAAAGGCCTCCTCCTCCAGTCCTCCTCCTCCTCCTCCTCCTCCTCCTCCTCCTCCTCCTCCTCCTCCCCCTCCTCCTCCCGTCGCCATCTTCGACCTCCTCGTCGGGACAGGCGCCGGGCTAGTCGGCGTCGGGCTGGGCGTCGGACGGGCCGCGGGGTGCTCCCAGCCGCGGTCGCCCCTTCGCGACGTCGAAGAATCGGACGCGACGGGCATCGACGCGCTGTCGCCTCGGCATCGGCACGTGGTGATGGAGTTTATACACAGCCGGGGGAAAAGTTATCACAAAATCCACAAGGCGATCATCTTGAATGGTCTGCAGACGGCAATGCCCAAACAGGATCGTGGAGTGAGACTCGCCTTTCAATGCTGGCAGCGTGCGCGGGCGCGCACCGTGGGCCAACTCATCGATGTGCTTTGCTTTGGCTTGCGCGCCCGGTGGCAACATTGGGAGGCGAATGCCACTTGACGCCCGGGTGCTCATCCAAGTTCATCCTTCACAGGGCCGTCGGCGTGGGCGGCTCCACGTTTTGCCATGCGCCTTCGTTCCTGCAGTCAGACGGCTGACATGCAACGCGCGGTGCAGACGAGACGTTTCCGTAACGTTCGCAGGTGTGCGTCGCTTGGTGCGACGGGCCCCGCCTGGTCTGACTCAGAATCGTTTCGGCTTACATCCCTATCCCACTTTTGTTACCTATACGACCACCCTTCGGGTGATACGGAGGTTCGGGGGGGGGAAGAACCAACGTCTCACTCGATCGGTCTCACTATCGACCTCACGATCGATCTCAGTATCGGTCTCGCTCGATCGATCTCCCTCGATCGATCTCACAATCGATCTCACTCGATCTATCTCACAATTGATTTGACTATCGATCTCACAATCGATCTCACTTTTGTTATAATTTGTTCACGGGGATGCATCGGCGGCGAACCGCCCCGCAGCGCGCGCTCGATGGGCGCAGCCGCCGGCGTCCGCCTGCCTCACCCTCCTGCTCCTGCGCGAGGCGCTGGGGGTCGGTCTGGGGTGAGGCGTCCGCTGGGGCGTCGGGCTGGAGAGGGGCGTCGGGGTGGGGTGAGGCATCGAGTGGGGCGTGGGGGGGGATGCCAGTTCTCGGGGGAGAAAAAGATACGGATACGTGTTGTTTTCGGCCTTTCCTGGTCCTCCTGGGGAATCCTCGTTGTCACCGCTGGATTCGCCTCGGAATTCTGGTCAGAACGCACCCCAAGAGAGGTCCAGGGACAACACGTATCCGTATCTTTCCGCCCCCCAAAGTTCGGGGGAGGGCGCGAAGCTTCCGGTGGTGCGCGACGTCGTGGTCGTGCGGCTGCACACCGTGGCCGCAGTGGTGGCGGGGTTGTCCGTCGTGGCCGTCGCGGGGCTGGTCGCCGTGGTCGCCGTGGTGGCTCTGGGTCTGCTCGCCGCGGTTGCTGCGCCAGTGGTCGCGGTATTGGTTGACGCTTGCGTCCATCACGGCCACGTCGCACGTGCGGATTGGCAGGTGTTTCTGGGCCGCGTAAGCTCATGGGCCTGTTTTCCCCCACCACCATAATTTAGAGAGGGGAAGGAACTGGAGGATGAGGAGGAGGAGGAGGAAGAGGACGCCGAGGAGCAGGAGGACGAGGACCCCCTCCTCCTCCTCCTCCTCCTCCTCCTCCTCCTCCTTTTCCTTCTCCTCCTCCTCCCCCTCCTCCTCCTCCTCCTCCTACTACTACTTTTGGTGGTGGTGGTGGACGACACGCCCACCATAAGCCTTCCGCCGCGCTGCAGCGCGCAGCGGTCTCGCGCCGGGGCGCGGCCGACGATCTCGCAGCCCAGCTCCCTCGGCTACACGTAGGAGTGACCGTTGGCCGGAGTGACCTTTAGTGCGAGCCCAATGGGGCCCTCCAATCGCCAAAATTCGCTGAGTGCGAGGCGATGGAGCCGGCTGGCGCGCCTGCGTTCGGCCCCCAGGCGGCCGCCGCGAAACCGCGCACCAAAGGGCACTCTTACCCAGGCTCCTCCTCCTCCTCCTCCTCCTCCTCCTCCTCCTCCTCTTCCTCCTCCTCCACCCCCTCCTCTTCCTGCTCCTCCTCCTCCTTCTCCTCCTCCCTCCTCTCCCTCCTCCTCCTCCTCCTCCTTCCTCCTCCTCCTCCTCCTCCTCCTCCTCCTTCTCCTCCTCCTCCTCCTCCTCCTCCTCCTCCTCGTCCTCGCCCTCCACCTTCTCTTCGTCCTCCCCCTCCTCTCCGTGTGACACGATAGCGCTGAGCGAAGCTGCCGCGTCAGCGCAGCCGACCTCTCTCTCGACCGAAACACGCCTCAGTCTCCCTCTTCATGTTCGCCTCAGGGGGTTGCCGAAGGCCTCCGCGTTGCCGCCGCCCCGGGGCCGCCAATCTCCCTCCCCCTCCTCGCCCCCTCCTTCCCCTTCCTCCCCTACTTCCCCCTTAGACCCCAACATCTAGAAAATGCCCTCCCGAAAAAACCGTCGGAAGTGATTACACATTCAGTGTCGATTCGTTGAAGGCCCCCACTTGGGGGCGTCGTCGTTTTCATGTGTCTTCAGAACTTCAGGAAGTATCAAGCGGGAGCCCCTTTTCTGTTTTGAGAAGGCGATGTTGAAAGCAGAGCCAGCGGGTGCTCTCCATCATCCATCAACCCCGCCTTGTGTGGAGTTGATTCGGGAAGCCCAAGGAGCCAGACGTGGAGCCACGATTCCAGACCGGCCCAGACCGCTCGAAGACGATCCACTTACCCTCCAAAGAAGATGGCGCCATACCATAACATGCTGTGCGGCGTTGTGTTCTGCGCCGCTGTGTGCCATGCGTTGCGTTGCAATGCTTTGTGATGCAATGCTTCACTGCGCAGTGCCAGGCCATGCCGTGCTCTACCATGCATCGCGCACTCTTTCGCGATCATCGCCCTGCTCGACATCCGATTGTGCGAGTAGAGACGAATTCTACGCGATGGTGAGGGATGGGAGGGAGTGGTAGGACGTCAGATATGACGCGAGCGCACCTAGCTTGCCTACCTCCCCCATCCCCCTCCCACTTCCCTCCTCCGCCCCCTCCTCCCCCCCCCCTTTTCCCCCCTTCCCTTTCCTCCCAATCCTCCTCCCGCCTGTTCTCCTCCGCCCCCTCATCCCCCCAATGCCCCCCCTACCCTTCCGCCCAATCCTCCCCCCGCTGCCCCTCCTCCGCTCCCTCCTCCGCCTCTCCTCCCTGGAAGCAACTCCTCCTCGTCGCGCCGCCGCGGGTGTCGGTGGGGCCTGGGAGGTTCGCCAAAGACTTCCTCGGCACTGATAGCCCCGAGGCTACGGACTCCCAACAGCGGCCCGAGGGGAGGGCCGGCATTTCTGTTGGAAGGTAGCTCTCGCAGGTAGCTCTCGCCTTGGCCCTTGGCGCCCTGGGCGGTTCGCCAAAGACTTCCTAGGCATTGATAGCCCCGAGGCTACGGACTCCCAACAGCGACACGAATGGAGGGCGGGCCTTTCTCTCCGAAGGTAGCTTTCCGAAGGCAGCTTTCGCCTGAGCCCCTGGGCGCCGGGCACATTCGTCGGAAACGCTTCCAACAGTGACGGGTGGGGGCTGGCCGTTTTGGAGATGCGGCTCTCGCTTCAGCGACGGGCAGCTTCGTCCCAAGAGCTTCCACCATGTGCACGGATGGAGAGCGGTCCCTGTTCAAAACGGAGCCCTCGGTTAAGCTTCCTCAGCATTTACAGGGCACTGCGTAACATTGTGCAGCAGCTTCTGGGATGGAGAGATGTTCCTTTTCAAATCAGGCTCGCGGGACATGTCCAGCAACCTTCTGGCCCTGTAACATTCCCCGGGGCAGCTCGTCTTCAAAACGGGTCTCCTGCCTGATACACTCGTCTCTCAAGAGGGGCGCCTGCCGCAGGCCAGAGGGACTGCCCGCAGGGGCAGTCTGAGGAGGGGACCTGGGACGGGAGGGGCCTCCTCCTCCCCCTCCTCCTCCTCCTCCTCCTCCTCCTCCTCCTCCTCCTCCCCTCTTTCTCCTCTTTCTCCTCTTCCCTCTCCTCCTCCTCCTCCTCCTCCTCCTGCTTCTCCTCCTCCTCCTCCTCCTCCTCCTCCTCCTGTGATCTGGTCCTCTTGCTTGCCCCGTCTTCCTCCAGGTCACCCGCGGGGGCGCGAAGACAATCCGGCTTCCCGCGTCGTGGCCCGGGCCAGAGCGATTGCCCTTCTGCAAGGAAGGGCGCGAGGGCGCGAAGACAGCCGCGCGCTGCTCATCGGGGTCGCAACACGCGAAGTTGTGTGGCCTAGCTCCTCATCCTCCTCATCCTTCCCCTCCTCCTCTTTCTCGTCCTCCTCCTCCTCCTCGTCTTCCTCCTCCTCCTCCTCCTCCTCCTCTTCCTCCTCCTCCTCCTCGTTCTCCTCCTCCTCCTCCCCCTCCCTCTCCCCCTCCTCCGCGTCCTCAAAAATGGCTCCCCTTCCGATCAGAACTCCTCGACGGCGGAGCGCAGCCGGGAGGTTTAAGAGGGAGTGGCAGAAAAAGCGCAGAAATAGAAAGAGAGATAGCCCTCAATCCTGCGCCTCCCCTTCCTCCCTCTCCTCCTCCTCCTCCTCCTCCTCCTCCTCCTCCTACACAATTTCACAATCTGAATACTAGTCTCCTTTCTCCCGTGGTGACGTCCGGGAAATATTCTGCCCCCCTCCGCGTAAGGGTTTTTTGCACAGGATTTCTGGAAACGGGTTTTCGCTTGGGCTTTGTTTCAAAATGCTGCTCTCGCTGAAGCGCTGGCCTCATGTTCGGGCTACCGCTCGAAACGAATCGTGTTTCCGCTGTAGCGCTGGCCTCATTTGCGCGCTTCCGCTCGTTCCCAATTGTGCTCCCTCTGCAGCGATGGCGTCATTATTCCCAGCGCCACACCACGGCATGGTTTTCAGTCCTTCCAAATAGACCCCACAATCTAGGAAATGCCCCCCCGAAACGACCATCGGAAGTGATTACACATTCGGTGTCGATTCGTTGATTTCTTGGGTCGCAGAAGACCCCCCCACTTCAGGGCGTCGCCACGCCATGCTATGTCAGGCTACGCGTCCTCCGAATCGTGCTCCCGCTACAGCGCTGGCCTCAGTTGCGCGCTTCCGCTCGTTCCCAATCGTGCTCCCGCTACAGCGTTGGCGTCATTATTTCCAGCGCCGTGCCACGGCATGGTTTTCGGTCCTTCTAAACAAGCCATTCGTTTTTTGGAGGGGCCACAGAAGCACCCCACCCACTTTGGGGCGTCGCCACGCCATGCTATGTCAGGCTACCCCTCCGAATCGTGCTCCCGCTACAGCACTGGCCTCAGTTGCGCGCTTCCGATCGTTCCGAATCGTGCTCCCGCTGCAGCGCTGGCGTCATTATTACGTCCTTCTAAATAAGCCCCAACGTCTAGAAAATGGCCCCCCGAAACAACCATCGGAAGTGATTACACATTCGGTGTCGATTCGTTGTTTTTCTGGCCGCAGAAGCCCCCCCCCCCACTTTGGGGCGTCGCCACGCCATGCTATGTCAGGCTACGCGTTGATCTTCAACACCATGCTATGCCATGCAATGCTATGTCTTGCTTCGACATCCGACTGTGCGAAAAGAGAGGAAATCTGCGCCGTGGTAGGGGATGGGAGAGAGGAGTAGGACGTCAGACATGGCGCGAGCGTCAGAGGGCTCCGGGCCCGCGAGGGCGCCCGCCGGCGGACAGAGAGACCGGGCCAGCGCAAGGAGGAGGAAGGCATGGGCGGGAGGGGTATGATGTCAGAAACGGCGCGAGCGCACCTGGCAAGTGCTTTCCTCTTTTTATAGTGCATTTATATATATATATACACCTATACGACCACCCTGCGGGTGATAAGGAGGTTGGGGGGTGGAGGGGCCAGCAATGGGCAACAGTGGTGATTGTTGTTCTGACGACGCACCGCGACGTCAATCGACGTCGTCATCATCATCATCATCATCATCATCATCATCAACATCAACATCAACATCAACGTCAACGTCAGCATCATCATCATCATCATCATCATCATCATCATCATCATCATCATCATCAACGTCATCATCATCACCACCATCATCATCACCATCATCACCATCATCACCATCATCACCATCATCACCATCATCATCATCACCATCATCACCATCATCACCATCATCACCATCACCATCATCACCATCATCACCATCATCATCATCATCGTTAGCATCATCATCATCATAATCATCACCATCAGAACCATCATCATCACCATCATCATCATAATCATCATCATCGTCGTCATTATCATCACCGTCATCATCGGGACACCGACGGGACACCGGCGGGACACCAGATCTCACTATCGATCTCATTCGATCGATCTCACAATCGATTGACGATCGATCTCACAATCGGTCTCACTATCGATCTCACAATCGATCTCTCATTCGGTCTCACTTTCGATCTCACTATCGATCTTACAATCGACGTCATCATTATCAACATCAACATCATCATCACCATCATCATCATCATCATCAACGTCATCATCATCAGCACCATCATCATCATCACCATCATCACCATCATCACCATCATCACCATCATCATCACCATCATCACCATCATCACCATCATCATCATCATCACCATCATCACCATCATCATCATCGTCATCATCATCACCATCATCACCATCATCACCATCATCATCATCATCATCGTCATCATCATCATCATCATAGTCATCATCATCATCGTCGTCGTCGTCTTCGTCATCATCATCATCATCATCATCATCATCATCATCATCATCATCATCATCACCGTCATCATCGGGACACCGACGGGACACTGGCGGGACACCGGCGGGACACCGCGGGCCACCGGACGCCGGAAGGTAGTCATTTGGTCTGGCCGCGCTTCAGCCACAGCGGGACACCGGCGGGACACCGCGCGGCACCGGTTGCCGGAGGGGAGTCGTTTGGTCCGGCCGCGCCTCAGCCACAGGAGATTTTTCTCTCGCCCGCCCACGCAGCTTCGCCTCGCCCGCACGCACCGCACGCACGAACACGAAACCGAAATCGATTTCCTGGTAGGGGGGCTCTCCGTTCCACTTCGATCTCACCCCCCAACCTCCGACTTACGTGTATATATAGATATATATACACACTTACGTGTGTGTATATATACATACGTGTGTACATATATATATATATGTATGTATGCTTACGTGTGTTGTCTGTTTGCTCTAACACTCTCTCTCTCTCTCTCTTTCCCTCTCTCTCTCTCGCCCCCCCGCGACCAGCACCTCGTCTCCGCGCCCGGCCCCCGCACACAGAAACACAAAGAAGCGTTCACGATGGCCGCGCTCGCTCGACTCGCGCTGGCCGGCGCCGCCCTCGCGGCGGCCGTGCCGCGCGCCCTCGCGAACTCCGTGTACGTGGCCGAGAGGCCCAGGGAGGGGCCAAGGCCCTCTCCTCCTCCAACTCCCTCTCCTCCCCCCCCCTCCTCCTCCGCCTCCTCCTCCTCCTCCCTCTCCTCCTCCTCTTCCTCCTCCTCCTCTTCTTCCCTCTCCTCCTCCTCCTCCTCATCATCATCATCAGCATCATCATCATCCTCTTCCTCCTCTTCCTCCTCCTGCGTCATTCCTCCCCCTCCTCCCTGCTGCATTCTTCTTCCTCGAGGAAAATACACCCAGCGACCACTGGATATATTCGTGCCCCGTCAAACCTAGAGGCTCAGAGGCATCTAAAGGTCGGGAAGCTGTTCACGGAGCTGCGCATCAGGAGGTTAAAACGGTTATAAGAACTGGTTGCGCATCAGCAAGCACATGAGCAAGCTACAGCAGCACTGGTGGGACAAGCCCGATGTGAGCAGCAGCAGTTAGATGTAGATGAGCACGGAGTAGCCTTACCCACAGCAAATGCATGGCTTCAGCAATCTGGCAAGACCTCCAGACACTCGAGGGGACCTCTGAGGGGCCAGACCTACTAGCTGAATCAAACGGCAGTTGTTCAAACGTGTTTAAAGGGGAAGCCATGGACTTCTTTTTAAGAACTGATGCGTCAGAACTTAGATCGAGATAACTAGCACGCTCCATTCCTCCTCCTGGCCAGGGCTCCGCTGTTGAGGAGGGGCTCCCCAACCCTCCCACACCGTGAGATCTCGTGCCAGGAGTGCCAGGATTCATTAGCCCTGTGTTTGACGAGAGTTTCTTGAACAAAAAAAGCATGGTGGCACATAGTGTTGGGGTTTGCGCCAAAGGGCGCAGCGACACGGAGGAGATTCTCAGAAAGGTCTGTGCCCTTGACATAATTCCGCACATGGCCACACGGTCGAATTATTGTATTTTATGCCATAGCCATTTCGCAGATCGAGCCACGGCCCAGTGGCACTTGGCAGCAGCGGTCAGGAACAAACGGTATATCTCCGACTTTAGTGTAAGAGCTCATCCCAAGCAGCCCCCCACACACCACACGCATTGTCCGCTGTGCTTGTTTCTTGCCCAGGCACCAGATCAGCTGGACCCACACCTTGCCAGGACACACGCGGTGCCTCGTGTTCAGCAGCGCATCATCCATCTGGATGTCGGCGTGGCTCGATGCAGTGCAGCAGACAGGGAGGCGACCAGCTGGCTCCTTCCCTCTGAGAAGCGGAGCAGAGGCGGAGGGCGAGGCGCGGGCACGCAGGCGCGGACGTTACTACTACTACTACTACTACTACTACTACTACTACCACTACTACTACTACTACTACTACTACTACTACTACTACTACTACTACTACTACTACTACAATACAACTACTACTACTACTACTACTACTACTACTACTACTACTACTACTACTACTACTACGACTACGACTACTACTACTACTACTACTACTACTACTACTACTACTA